GGTAAAGCAGCGATCGCTTTGACTAGCAGACGCAAAGCAGACGACGTTAACTGCGCTAACCCGCCGACGCCGTTAAAGAGTGAGGAGTCTCGCCGCACACGAATGGAGAGAAAAAGTTTTTGGGAGGGAACTTGCGGACACTAACACGCTCACTCTCGGTTCTAAGCAAACAAACTTCGGCGCCCCGGGACACCTCGCCAGTGAGTCCTTTGACTTCCCTCCTTGATGCGCGTCTGCTAGTTGTTAGACAAAAACAACGTACCGCTCGAGTTATTTCGTCTGCCCTCTCTTAAAGGCGAAGTCAAGTTCGCTCCGAAAGTCGCAGGAAAGGTGAGACAGACGCAGACGACGTTGCGAGCAGACGACGTTGCAAAGGAGCAGACGACGCTGAGATAGGGGGTCGCGATCAGCCAATCAGGGCTCGGCCTTCTGACGTCGCCGCTACTTCCTTTCTCATGCGCAGAAGACAAAAATGAGCCCACTTGCGGGGCGTATTGGGTTAGAGCCTATCTCACCAGCACCGCGATCATAAACAATAAATAGCCGGCGAATGTTTCCTAAAAGTTCTGTTAAATGATATTCAGATCCACATTTTGTAGCGTAATTAGAGATGTGACAGAAATTGCCGAGTTTGACAATGCTCAGCGCCAAGCGCCATCTATCGTATGGTAAACCAAGCAAGAGAAAGACCCTACTGCGCTTGTGCAGTCAATCCCCGAGCGTCGTCTGCTGAACGGGTTTGCTCCTGGTCGTGCTTTCTCCTTAGAGCAGACTTTCGTTTTCTGGCTGCTCGAGTAGTGTTTACGTTGTTTGTGATCGATCGCTCGATGGCTATGCCGAAAGGCTGCAGTGTACCGAAGTGCCCGAATTACAGTTTCTGCAGTCCGGTGGTTAAAACGAAACAGTTGCAGTTTCACCGCTTGCCACTCGATGAACCACGTTGTCACAGAATTTGACTATTTTTCTCTATTGTGGAGTTTTCGCGAGTGAGCGCATCCGGTTGTAGGTCGCCCCTTGCCCCGCGGGTTGAACGGGAGAGCTGGGGCCATCGGCTTGTACTGTTTCGCGGACCCCGCTATTTAGAAACCGCGGTATATTCCCGCGGTCCCCTCTCGAGGAGGGTAATGCGGAATGTTTCGTCCCCAACTCGGGCGGTTTCTCCTTTTTTGTTGTTGTTGTTTTGACAATGAAAGGAAATGGTAAAGTGAGGACCTCTGGTTGGTTTCGAGCATACATGGGTAAATTACTTTGAAAATGTAATTTAATTACTATTACAATTGCTTGGCTTCAAAAGTAGTTCAACTACAATTACAATTACTACTACGTGAAAAGTAATTAATTACAATTACAAATTAAATCTAAAAAATTAATGCAATTACTCTACAATTACTTGTTTCTGAGCGCGACCCGACTTGGGTCATATATTTTTAAACGAGTTGTATAGAATGCAACGTATTTGTTCATTCCTTGCCCCAATGTTTGAGGAGGCTTAAGCATCGCAGCGTAAATGCCACGTATTGTACTTTGCTTTTTTTGTGAAATTCATGATAGAGCTTGACAGTTTGGGTCAATGAAGCACTACGTTCTCATATTTTTAATAAATAACAATAAATTAGTTCATATGCTAGAAAGCGCCAGATCGATCGCCGAAGAAAAAATTTGGTTGACAGACTTTTGTTAGCTCGGCAAATAAAAATGCGACAATTAGTCATATACGAATATTTTACAAATGTTATTATAAAACTAAAATCCACACACGCTAATATGACCTCATTCACATACAAACATCATGGTATTGTAATTTATTTACATTGAGTTGAAACTACAATGGCTCACAAATATATAAGAACCGAATCGGGACTCCCGAATCATTGGTGACAATATTCACAGGTGCGAGGTCAGTCTCCAAAATGCTTATGCAAATAATATCCGAAGTAAAACCAACAAGTCATAAACTTGGAAATAATATAAAGACACAAATATGCGACAGCAATAAAAAAAGACGTAAAAAAAATAAGGAAAAAAATGCATAAGTAATTAAAATTTTTAAGCTCAACTGAAAGCTGAAGCTCAATTTTATTTTCTCTTCATATTTTGGCATGTTTACGCTAGGGTTTTCTGCTCGCACGGCAGACGGCGCAACACGGTGCCGTTGAGGTAGGCTCCAAAGAGGATTGCCTCTCAGCCCGCAGTGTAAGCAAGAAAACAACAAACTATGCAACGCTATTTATCTTGTGCGTGTGTGTGAGTGCGTGTCTTTGTGCGAGTGTTTCATCGAGAGCTATACCGCTTGTGCGAGCGCTGACGCTTTCACGGGAGGTTCCATCGGCTCCGCGGAGCTTTGCAGAAGTAAATGTAATTGTACCTTAAATTTTGCAATTACTGACTAGAAAGTAATTAAATTACAATTACAATTCCTTTTAGCCTAAAGTAATTAACTACAAATTATCAAGAAAAGTAATTAAATTACAGTAATTCAATTACTGTAATTGAATTACTATTCAAGTATGGTTTCGAGCCGAGTCAAGTCAGTGTATTGCGAGACTGGACCGGCGGGTGGACGCGACGCGAAAGTTGGGAGCGACAGCGGGTGCGGCGGAAGGCGGAACGCGGGAAGAGCTCGGAGCGGCTCCGCAGGCCCCCAAGTGTGTGTGCTCGTGGATGAGTGTGGTTTCAAGGAGCACCGCACGGAGCATCCAAGCGCACACAAACTTCCCCGTTTCCACCAGCGTCGCAATGGGCCCGCGTCACCCACGCCCGCAACATATCTAATTGAATTTCGCTCAGCTGCGATGTATGCATGGCTATCGCGGCGATGAGAGGCGCCGATTCAGAAAATACGTCGGTGACTTCAGCGCTACCAGCGCAGTAAAACATACCGGCACACCCCCGAATCGCCGCCGCTAACGCTCCCATTCTCCTACTGTCCTACTGCCGAGAGAAGTTCCGGTTCCTGTGCCAGAGTACGTCACGACCGTCAAAATTATGGCAGCTTGTTTTCCGGTCAGTTGGAAAGAAAGAAAAAGTCGATATTTCATTAATTTTTTGTGTAGAAGTTAATAAACCGAAACGAAAACGGATGCCTGTTCGGCATTGTGTGAACATTGAAGGTTTAATGTAAAAGTTATCTGGAAAAAGTAAAAAGGGTAATTTCATGGTCCCTTTAAGCCTTATTGAACTCGATTTGCTCGATTCGGGGCCGCCATACAGGGATGCGGGCGACAGAGGCACTTTGCTACCCTGCTTTCGGGACGAAAGTTTTTCCCTCTCTAAAGGGACATAGGTTGTAAGAGCGTTCATCCCTTTATAAAATACTATAGGACTTTATGGAGGACTACTTATTTCTAAGAGTGTGGAGCACGGCAGGTTGTAACCTTGCGTTCCGCGGTCACATAAAGCCCATGACAAACACAACAGGCGCGGCGTAGTCGTCGTTTTGCTGTATGACAAGTGGGACATCTTAGTTGCGACATAATGTCTTGAACATTTTTGGCCTGAAATTTTAGACTTAGCAAGATTAAACACAGGTGTAAAACTAAACGTTTTCGTTGTTTAGTTCCTCAGCTGGTGTTATCGAAGTGCGTGAGAGAATATTGGCGTTTTTGTAATATTTCCCATCTCTATGAAAGATATCCAACTGATACCCTTAAAGTAGTAAAGCCGAACGAGCAAGATTGGGCGTAAGGACTCGCTTTGACTGAAGCCAAAGTAACTCTGAATTGTCTGTAACGGCTGTGAAAGGATGACCATAATGTAAGGCCGAAAGTGCTGAATAGCCCAGATGTGAGCTAGGCACTTTAGCTCCGATGAATAGTAGCGTTGTACGACATCTGTGATGCGCCGACTGGCGTAAGCGATCACTCGTTAACATTTATGGCGGGGTTTTTGGAGTAGTGCAGCTCCAAGGACAGTTCCACTGGTGTCGGTGGGAAGAAAAGATGGGGATTCCGTGTTAAAATGGGCTGATATAGAAGCCCGAAAAAAACTTTTTTTTAGGTAATTGAAGGCATGTTCTTCGTTTATTGTCCCTCGCTAAGGGTTGTTTTTGCGGAGTTAGAGTGTGAGGGGTGTCGCATGTCTCGCGATCTGTGGTGTAAACCGGCGAAAAGAGAATGCAAAGTGAAAATACGATGCAAACACCCCTTGACGATGAAGAATAAACGAGGAACATGCCTTAAACGAGCTCATGGAACGGCTTCTTCGGGCACTATTCTTAGCCCATTTTAACATGGAATTCCCACCTTTTTTTTCACACCGACGCCAGTAGAACTGGCCTTAGAGCTATACAATTGCAACAATGGCGGGCATAAGGAAACGAATCCGCTTTATAAAAGCGAATTGCATTTGCGTGCGATACGGGATACTATCTGACAAAAATCATTACACATATGGAGATCTGCTAAAAATACAGCGAGAAAAGCATCTGTTTAGACTTTAGAACTTGATATCAAAGCATCATCGGGCCCTCCGTTGTCTGATTTTCAAGTTAACGTACACAGTAACTAAAGAGATTATTTTGACTCAAACATGAGTGGTCGGTGTCCCCAAATTTCGTTTTTCAGGCTCGCAATATGGGTGTTGTGTGTCTCGTACCTGCGTCGTAATCATCCAACGTGGAAAAACCCTACTGGTTCCGAGTTTTAAGTAAGACCACAAGCGTGCATGACAGAAAGAACACTTCTCCGTGCCTCTAAAAGATTCGAGTTGCTCTTACCTCAAGTGTAAATGCTAAGGAGGCCAGAATGACCTTGCCTGGTCAGTCTCGCCCTGGCTCAATAACGGACATTCTAAGTCCTCGTGGACACCAGCATCAGGGGCGAATGCCTATTGACAGCGAGATGTTTCCGTGGTTATGATTCTTGATACATTACTAGTAGATGTAGGTGTCTCTGCGGTTATGCTACATGAAGCACTTTCTCATATGGTCGATCGCTCCATCATTCTAAAATGCACGTGACATACAAAATTATTAAATCAACGTTTAGAGCACCCGAACGTACCCGCCAGAAGTTCCCTCAGATGAGCCACTGCTTTTTCCCTCGCTGTGTCTGTCTCTCCGAGCTCCTCTTCCGCAATTCGTCGCAGGTCCGGGGGCAACGTGCTATTTGGCGCACTTGCTGTTTCTTTAGCAATGCATTCCTTGTCTGGCGCAAACATCTTCACGCATCCGATCGCGGAAGCCGCTTGGATTCACTTTGGCATCTCGTGCGTGTCAATTCAGCGATTGTTTACGAAGGAAAGAAGAGATAACGCGATTCTACGACGCAGTGACGGCGCCGCTTGGCGTAGAAGGTCGACCGGTTTGGAGCGCGAGGGCGCGACTGTTCTCAGACACGAACATACACCGTTGCAGACAACTTGCTTTTGGAAGGACGCTGATTGCTAAAGCTTGTGCACGCTATGTTTGCAAGTTCTTCCGGAAGAGGTCTCTCCGGCCGCGTTAACGAAACTCCCGTCTAGCGGCCGCGCAAGCCAAGGTCAGCGAGCGTGTTTGGTGTCTTTAGTTGAACGTCGCTGTGTCAAGAAATACAAGATATTGCAGAAGGGTTTGGATTTGGGCTAGTTGGTGGAACATGTTTAGGGGTTAAAAGCGCTAAAAACGACGGACGAGTAGGAGAGACACACACCACAGAGCGCTACTTGCAACTGGTTTATTATTGGAAAATTACACGTACCGCGAAACCAACAAAACACACATCCGATTCAGTTCCAACCGTAGCTAATCACAATTCTTACTCTTACACCATGCATGATCGTAAAAACGATAACTCTGATTCAAACAGGGTTATCGATGGGGCACTTACACACGTACCCTCGTCACACTCGGAAATAAAAAACGCTTCCGCTATCTCCCTTCTCTTTCTATTTTTGTTTCGTGCTAAGATGACGGTGTTGTCTAAATAGGGTAAACACTCACACCTACTGCAATGTACTGCGAGATTGCCAGAGGGGGCTGACCTCAATGACAGGGCATGTTCCCTCAGTCTTTCGTTCACGCATCGCCCCGACTGCCCCACGTATACCCTCCCACAAGACAGAGGAATTCTGTACACTACCCCCACTCTGCATCCTACGTATCTTGTTGCGTGCTTTTTCTGACAAATATCCAACCCTGTGTCGCCCCGTTCCAACCCCCCACATAGCTTACTTAATTTCTGTGGAGCTGAAAGAAGAACCGAAATGCCATGCTTTTCCCCTACCTTTTTGATGTTATGGCTAACGTTATGTATATACGGTATCACCACTGGTCTTTTTTCTGGCTTGCCCCTCTCTTCCCTCTTCCCTCCTCCACGAAACTTTTTTAGCAAGCCCTCTACCACCCCCTTAATAATCTCACAGGGAAAGCCTCCCTCCTCTAGCCTCCTCACTTGTAACCCGAAGCTTTCGGCTACGCTGTGCTGACAGGACTTCGTTAAGGCCGCGTTCAGGCAGGTTGTGGCGATCCCCCTCTTGATAATCTTGGAGTGGTTCGAGTCATAGGGCAAAACACCTTTTTCGCCCTAGGACAGTAAGTCCAACATACATGCGACGGGAGAAGGGCCAACTTCAGATCCAAAAACTGCAAACCACCCTCCACCGGGTTCTCACTTGTGAAATTCAAGCTCGAGGCGCTAGTTCTGAAAATCTCCAACATGTCTGACACAAACACCGCCCTTTCTGACTCCCCTTTTTTCCGGAACAGAACAAGGTAGTCGTCCACAAATCTGAATACATGGACGACTCCTGCCTCCAATCTATTCTTAATGTCCCTATCACACTTTGCTAAGTACAAATCACTTAACACTGGAGCCACACTCGCACCAATACACACACCCTGCTTCTGCACGAGCTGTACGTCTTTAAAAACAATATATGTGGATTCCAAATAAAAGCCCAGCAACTCTAGAAAACCTTCCGCGGCAACCCCACATTGATTTTGGAACTTGACCTCTCCAAACACCTCAATGGCTTCACGAATAGCTACAAAAAGACCGTCATGTGGTATAGAATAAAACAGGTTTTCAACGTCAAATGATACCGCATCACAGGCACCAGGGTTAGAATGTGTCAGAAACTCTACCACACTTTCTGAATTGTTCACCATAAAAGGATCGTTCAAGTGAAGCTGGGAAAGGTGACGCTGAAGGTACGATGACATCTGCATCTGCCACGACCCCTTCTGAGCCACAACAGCCCTAAACGGCATGTCCACTTTATGAGTCTTTACCATGAAAAAAACCTTTAGGTTAAGATCCTTAGCCCGTACGATCGACGCTTTTAAACTGTCCAGACTCAAGTTCTGGCACAGCTCAACAGCCCTCTTTTTTACCCTCGCGAGGGAAACCTTTGCTTCCTTAAAATTCTTCTCTATTGACTGCTTGCCCTTACTTAAAAAATCCTTGTCAGTAACAAGGACAAACCCGCCCTCCTTGTCTGCTACCAGTAGCTTGAGATGTTCGTTCACACAAAAAGACACAACCTTGCCAACTCTAGGCCCACTGGAGGACACGCCCCCTCTTTGTCGGGGAAGGGTATCGACTCCATCTAAAATGCATCTATCTCTCTTAGCTTGATCCACTCTGTCTCCCACATCTCGCACCAGTGTCAAGAGTTCCCGAGGCTTGACGTTTGCCTTACCGGCAAACTTGGGTCCTTTCTCTAAGATCCTTACGATCTCCTCCGGAGCCTTAGCGTCACCAAGCAGCACCACCTCACACACGCCCCTCTTCATCTTGACGGGCCTCGGTAGTGACGCCAGTACCCATTGCCATAAAAACATCTCAAGCTACTGGTAGCAGACAAGGAGGGCGGGTTTGTCCTTGTTACTGACAAGGATTTTTTAAGTAAGGGCAAGCAGTCAATAGAGAAGAATTTTAAGGAAGCAAAGGTTTCCCTCGCGAGGGTAAAAAAGAGGGCTGTTGAGCTGTGCCAGAACTTGAGTCTGGACAGTTTAAAAGCGTCGATCGTACGGGCTAAGGATCTTAACCTAAAGGTTTTTTCATGGTAAAGACTCATAAAGTGGACATGCCGTTTAGGGCTGTTGTGACTCAGAAGGGGTCGTGGCAGATGCAGATGTCATCGTACCTTCAGCGTCACCTTTCCCAGCTTCACTTGAACGATCCTTTTATGGTGAACAATTCAGAAAGTGTGGTAGAGTTTCTGACACATTCTAACCCTGATGCCTGTGATGCGGTGTCATTTGACGTTGAAAACCTGTTTTATTCTATACCACATGACGGTCTTTTTGTAGCTATTCGTGAAGCCATTGAGGTGTTTGGAGAGGTCATGTTCCAAAATCAATGTGGGGTTGCCACGGAAGGTTTTCTAGAGTTGCTGGGCTTTTATTTGGAATCCACATATATTGTTTTTAAAGACGTACATCTCGTGCAGAAGCAAGGTGTGTGTATTGGTGCGAGTGTGGCTCCAGTGTTAAGTGATTTGTACTTAGCAAAGTGTGATAGGGACATTAAGAATAGATTGGAGGCAGGAGTCGTCCATGTATTCAGATTTGTGGACGACTACCTTGTTCTGTTCCGGAAAAAAGGGGAGTCAGAAAGGGCGGTGTTTGTGTCAGACATGTTGGAGATTTTCAGAACTAGCGCCTCGGGCTTGAATTTCACAAGTAAGAGCCCGGTGGAGGGTGGTTTGCAGTTTTTGGATCTGAAGTTGGCCCTTCTCCCGTCGCATGTATGTTGGACTTACTGTCCTAGGGCGAAAAAAGGTGTTTTGCCCTATGACTCGAACCACTCCAAGATTATCAAGAGGGGGATCGCCACAACCTGCCTGAACGCGGCCTTAAAGGGGCAGTCAAGTGGTTTTTGAGTTTGTGTTTTGATAATGACAGCTGAATTTAGACGCCTTAAGTATCCCTAAAAACCAAAAAGTATAGTCATACGGTGATTATTTCTTTAATAAAAACGTAATTGAAGGCCGCCAAACCTCGGATCCATCCGAAAACGAAACCACTCTCATTGGTCGTCGCACGCTTATCAAAAGGATCTCGGGCCAATGGCGTTGGACGACGTTCCGTCGTGCAGTGATCCCGAGGTAGCCGCATCGGCCGAACCTCTTTGTCATTCGAGCTTCGATCATGGCGGAGTTCTCTACGCTCGAGGACCTGACGCCGTTAGAGGTTGAAGTTCTTCGGCGGACAGCCGACCTGGGGATGATTTCCTATGACGCCACTCCGACGTGCGATGTGGACGATAGCAGCGCTTCGGAGTCATGTTCGGGTTCCGAGGACGACGAAACGCAGACCTTTTCGGGCGTTCTTCGATTTGCGGTTGGGGCAAGTCGTAACCAAACCAACGTTTGACATCGCAGCGTTACCTCTGGTACGTGATGTCAAACGATGTCGCCACGTTGACTTTCGCCTCGGGAGAACGGGGGGAAGGCTGGTTCAGACATGTGCCACGAGCGCGTACCTACGACTGCGTCCGTTGCAACCGCAGCGACCGGAACGACCCAAACGACCGCACTGCGCCGCGCGTACACACACCTGTAACCAGTATACAACAAGCGCAGCGGGTCGTCAGCACGGCGACCGCTTCTGTACGCCGCCGTCAGCTGTGTCAGCGGCCCCTCTAAAAAAGGGGACGCACTGCTACTCAATGCCGTAACAGAATATAGACAGACAGTTTCCTAGTCTAAAGCTTTATTCTTTTTTCTCGATAGGCTTGCAGGGTACAGCGAATGAAAGAAATAAAATAAAAAGATGCAGCGCCGTCTTGGACGATCACGACTCTAATACACGACATTGCAGTAGTACAAATATCGCCACACGCCTTTTCTACGATTATAAAAGACAATGTAATCTTAGCAGCGATATAGCAACGTAGAAATATGATTTCGTGATCAGGTAGACGTTGCGAGCGTTCAGGATTGCTAACACTAGTCACTTTTCTCCGGTGATGAAAACGCGTGAAAATTCGTATCCTTTATACGGTACGCGCCAGTAATACCTTGAACTTGAGCACACGCATGAAATGCGCCAAATCAGAAATCCGGGCGATGTTCGAGGACACAAATGCTTAGAAAGCATCACTGTAGTCGAAGTAAACAAACACGACGGCACGGGCGTTTCTGCCGTCTTGAGAGTGCCGCCACGACATCGCCGCACGAGTAGGTGGATGTTCCCTTCTAGTACGTGCTGGGTTATCATCGCGAAACACTACGAA